ATTGAGAAAATGTCCATCAAATAACGACAGGGTGGTCAGTTAAGTGTCTTGTTTATATATCTTTATAATCCTGGGAGTTAAAATATCCGTTGATAATTTTTTAAATCTCTGGCAAGATAAATTTTAACTAGATAAAGAATGCTTTTAAATGGGTATTTTTCTGTGTTTGTTTTATTAGTTGTTTTGATACTATCTAAAAAACATACCGTCGTCCATTTCTCTGATCATTTGAATTGCGTCAAACATTTGACTGATTTCATTGTCGTCCTGGGAAAATATGAATGCATTGTTTAATTGCGAATGTAAATAATATGATCTAGTTTTACAGTTGAAAACTTCTAATTGTAAAAATAAATGCATGGATTATCAATCGCTTGAGTATTTATAAAATCAAGGACACTAAATATTATTTTAATCAATTTCAAATATTTGAATGTGTAAAAAAATTGGCGCAAAGGTGAAATCTCGTTTTTTTTTACAAATAAATTCTTTAAATCATTTTTCAACTTTTGATCATTTGCTATTGCTGAATAGACAAATATTTGAAGAATCTGGTATATGTGTATATTTTTTTCCCAGTTTTGTGTAGGTTTTTACACTGTTGTTGTACACAAATATTAAAGGCCATTAATTGAATCTCACCATTTCTCTAATTGCACGAACATCACCTAGAGCCATTCGTAGTCCTGTTTTTATTATTGTTTGACCAGTTCTAAAAACAGAAAGTGAATAAATCAGAGATCGTGGACGGTGGATAACTTAAATCTCGTGAATTGGTAAAGCCTGAAAAATGTCATAAAAATATATATATTTATCCATAAATGCTTTTTATTTACAATTTCAAAATGGTGATATTACCTTTTGGAAATTTCTGAAAGCAAAAATAGTCAATATGTTATTACATGAATGCGTATTGGAAGTGTGAATAAATTACTCACGGACTTTTCACTGCTTTGACCACCGTTGAACCTGCTTTTTTCATGGCCTTTGTAAAGCTTCCTCATCCTCCTGAGACATCAGCAACAAATAATGCTACCAAAGCTAGAATAATTACAGTTTTCATGATTTTGTTTCCTGAAATTGAATGATATTAAATTAAACATGAATTTTCGTTTTAGATAATCAAACTAGAAAAAAGCAAGGTTTGTTTGGCTCTTAGAAAATAATCCTTGTTAACTTTTGGAAGCAAAACGAATTTCAATTAAAAACAACTCGGAATATTACGGACTTCGTGATAAAAACAGAAAAATAAATTCGAATTTGAAATTCTTTATTGCGATGGCTGTTTGTAAGATTCGTGTTAACAAAGGTAAAAACAATGATAAACCCACATAGAAATTATTACATAGAAAATACAAATTTTCAAAAATCTCACCCGAATCTTCTTCGTCTTCGTAATATGAAGTGATGCTAAAGTGTTTATTCACCCTTTTTATAGAATTCTGTATTCGATCTCGGAAAATTCGTCATTGAAAATCCATCACGATTTTTCTTTTATCGCTTTAAGAAATTTTAAGACAGGAAGGAATTCAGTGTGGATAATGTAATGCGTAATGATATGCGAATAAAGAAAATTTGTTCCTAATGTTTTTCCATACGGTTATGGTGAGATATTTCGTGTTCCGTTTTGTGAAATATGAGACTCTGTAAGCACATAAACATAACATGAAATTTTTTGTTTGTTTTTGACTCGTTTATATCGGGGGGTTGACATGACTAGTTGTTAGGGCTGGGCATTTTCGAAGACCTGATGATTTCAGAATCAGATCGAGTATTTTTTTCGAATCGAATCTCGAATACTTGGGAGATATATAATTGTATGTAACTTTTTTCTTGTATTTGGTCCTACAGATACATAAATTACTGGAAACGTAAAATACATCACTCAGACAGATTGCTTATCCTCGCTACTCGAAACTCGGAAGTATTTTGAGGTTACCGGTACCGGAAATGCTAAAGATAAGGTGAACTACTGCAGTACTGCTTCTCTTGGTGTCAATATATTTGTAGACTGTAGTATTTGCTGTTACGTGTCCATATATTTAAGCACAACTCTCCTGTTAGCATGTGGTATTATTAATGTTTTTATTTTAGTTCCATTATAACAGAGTGTAGGTTACACAAAGCTAGAGCAAATGCTCCGTTAAATTAATAGCTTAAAAATACGTCGAGGGAGAAATATCAAAAAAGTTTGGGAACAACTGTTCTAATAGAAATGTTAGTCTGCTTTAAGACTTCTGAATACGCCTGCGCAGATTTGCAAAAACAGAGTCTTAGCAACGGAGCGCACCTTACTTTTATTATTCACCAAATGTGTCTACAAGTATAGAAAACAACTTTCACCACATGAGTTACAACTGCTTTTACAAGTTCCATGGCAATTTATTTGTTATAAATTGTATTATCACCAGTGAAATAATTTCATTTGCACAAATTTTTGCTCGAAACACCCATTACCAATCAATATGATAGTAAATTTTTATTTGATCAAAATATAATATTCAATTTATTTTATTTTAACTAAAATCTTCATCAATGTTTATGTTTAAGTTACAGCTTGTAATTAAAATAACCAAAATCTCCAACGTTCAGTGCATGAAGTTGTGTTTGTGAGATAACTTTCAATTATGTAAGACTGTAAGTGATGAACTGATAATCATGCTTGGCATTATAGAAAAAAACAAAAACAAATCGTGTTAAGAATTTTCCATATTGTGAATTTATAAATACCCAAAATAAGTAACGTAACACCGAGTCATAATCTTACGGAAGTGGTTGAGTACAAAGTTGTATTGTCTCCGACTAATTACGGGAAATTGCCCATTAAATTGTAAACACGGTGATAACAAACTTTCTTCCGATTTTAATATAATAAACGAACTTATAAGTAATACCGTATGGAAGCAGTCTATCAACTTTTGTTCGTGCGCCGAATTACGAAGGAAAAAACTTAAGGGGCACTTACATGAAAAAATTTGCTGTTTTTAATTAAATTGCAATTTTGTAATCGTTGATGTGTATCATATGCTTCTCAAAGTTGGTAAACATGTATGCCTAAAGAATAAAAGCGATTTTAACTCTTTTTCCACATCTCTTCCTTATTTTCTTCTGAATCACTGTACTAAAAATCACTCAAGTTCGGTAGCCTCGGCTCAGCATATAAAAAAACTGCAACAAGTTGTATTTACCTATAACGTTACGTTTCGAAACAATAAAGCAGACATCATGTAACAGAAAGTAAACGACAAAAAACGGGAATGAATTCACTGGTTCATATACACAGCAGATGAAATTAAAAAACAATAAAAGATATTTCATAAATACAATGTGTAAAATATTTAATCCTATATTAGTTATGCTTAACACAATACTGGTAATTTTCGCAGCTCGATGAGCAAATCGCCGAGGCGCACCCGTTGGAAATCGCTGCCATATGGTATTTGATGACAAAGTTACATCTATTCGTAAACGGGTTTTATTAACAGTTTAACTTTTAGAGTTTAATTTTCAAACTGCAATAACTATATTGTAATTTTAAAACAATGCATGTTTAAAAGGTTGAATATTTGCTGGCCTAATGGTCTCCACAAAAGTCATTGATCGTCGCACACACTTTTTGATGAGCACATAGTATTGTGGTAGATTCGAATATCTGGTTCCTGTAGTTGAGAATTTCGAATCGAATATTTAAATAGAATCGAATAGTGAATTATTCGGATCGGTTCAGACGAAAATGTTGAATTGCCGACATATTGTTTTTTGTAATACTGCCAACGCAGCAATAAACATGTGACCATTGTCACCTGAGATTTGTCGCATGACTGATTTAAATTTGAAGTCCACGCTACAACAATTTTCATACTAAAACATAATTTGTATCAATCATTAATGAAAACTTCTTCAATCGCTTGATAAATTAAAAAAAAACTGTTACACTACAGATTCTCCGATAGTTGAATTTGGATAAAATTATATGTTAGCGAGAGGAGCCGTATAATTGCCCACCGTTGGTATATATGGTTCTTTATCCATTAAACATTGGCTACAATGTATTCCTTGATTCCGTGGAGCTGTTTCACATCAGGGTAGTCTAAATTCACGTTTGGTATGTGACAAACATTTGAGGAATGCTAGGTAGCTGATGACAATTTTACTCTATAAGAAAACTCTGAGTTCACTCAGGTTTTCACATGTAGAAGACAACAGATGTTTTGTATGCTCAAAGCTTGGATATCATATCAATTGGCTAAAGGAGAATATCGGTCAGAGACCGAAGGCTTATCGATCGAAAGTTAGGGGATACCCCAAAACAGCGCTCTTACTCCATAGTGACACCTTGTGTCCCATCATTAATTAATTAATAACTCGCTAATTATACGAAGCAATAGGCTTCTGGTACGACATATGATGAATGTACATGCAAAATCTGGAGCAGATTCAATCTTGCTTTCGTGAGATATCGCGTGCATCTAACAGACCAACAGACAGACAAATACCTATCAACATATTTACCGATTAAAATCGATTAATAATATTCGGTAAAAATATTTGAAATGGCGGTATAATGCATAGAGAATTGGCGCAGGTTTGTTCGTGCATTTCCAGCAAACATTCAAAATAGTGCAAAACTTACAGTGAAAAAACTAAATAGGTTTTTTATTACCGGTATTTAATTTTGCCTTGCGAGATTTTTGGATTACATGGCAAAGCTAAATTGAAATACACTTTTTTGACCCCGGTAGCAAGTTTTTCTGAGCAATAAACACTTTTTCGATTTTCTTTGTGCGTCTTTGGTTGTTCGACTTAATTTTCAGTGCGCGTTGATATTATTCCTAATGGCGATCCAATGTAGTGTCAATTGATATTCACGCGTTAGCTATATGAAATAGAGTCGTGCAACAACAACAACAAAACGCCGTTATTACTTTTTGCTACTGTGAGCGTTACCTGTTTAAAATGTTGTGAAACTCGAATATTTTATTGATTGATAAAGACGTATCTTCAGATTATTTTCATTTATTTAAACAACAAAGAGTGAGACAAAACAACAGCTAACAAAACGAAATCAATATTGGTAATTTATATTTGTTATTTGTCAACTTATTTAAAATATATATAATGATTAGACAAGATGTGTTTGGCAAATTAATATTATGACAGATATTCTTTCACTCTTCGTCGTCACTCCATTTGTCACTCCCTATTCAAAATCTTCCAGGCTTGCTGCTTTTGCGAAGGTGAGGAATTCGTCTGAAACGGTATTACAATTCAATGATACTTTCTAAATAGTTAAGTTGAATATTTTACTAGATTCACTGATGAATATATAGTGAAATAATACATTCGTAAATGTATAAAAAATTGAGAAAATGTCCATCAAATAACGGCAGGGTGGTCAGTTAAGTGTCTTGTTTATATATCTTTATAATCCTGGGAGTTAAAATATCCGTTGATAATTTTTTAAATCTCTGGCAAGATAAATTTTAACTAGATAAAGAATGCTTTTAAATGGGTATTTTTCTGTGTTTGTTTTATTAGTTTTTTTGATACTATCTAAAAAACATACCGTCGTCCATTTCTCTGATCATTTGAATTGCGTCAAACATTTGACTGATTTCATTGTCGTTCTGGGAAAATATGAATGCATTGTTTAATTGCGAATGTAAATAATATGATCTAGTTTTACAGTTGAAAACTTCTAATTGTAAAAATAAATGCATGGATTATCAATCGCTTGAGTATTTATAAAATCAAGGACACTAAATATTATTTTAATCAATTTCAAATATTTGAATGTGTAAAAAAATTGGCGCAAAGGTGAAATCTCGTTTTTTTTTTACAAATAAATTCTTTAAATCATTTTTCAACTTTTGATCATTTGCTATTGCTGAATAGACAAATATTTGAAGAATCTGGTATATGTGTATATTTTTTTCCCAGTTTTGTGTAGGTTTTTACACTGTTGTTGTACACAAATATTAAAGGCCATTAATTGAATCTCACCATTTCTCTAATTGCATGAACATCACCTAGAGCCATTCGTAGTCCTGTTTTTATTATTGTTTGACCAGTTCTAAAAACAGAAAGTGAATAAATCAGAGATCGTGGACGGTGGATAACTTAAATCTCGTGAATTGGTAAAGCCTGAAAAATGTCATAAAAATATATATATTTATCCATAAATGCTTTTTATTTACAATTTCAAAATGGTGATATTACCTTTTGGAAATATCTGAAAGCAAAAATAGTCAATATGTTATTACATGAATGCGTATTGGAAGTGTGAATAAATTACTCACGGACTTTTCACTGCTTTGACCACCGTTGAACCTGCTTTTTTCATGGCCTTTGTAAAGCTTCCCCATCCTCCTGAGACATCAGCAACAAATAATGCTACCAAAGCTAGAATAATTACAGTTTTCATGATTTTGTTTCCTGAAATTGAATGATATTAAATTAAACATGAATTTTCGTTTTAGATAATCAAACTCAAAAAAAGCAAGGTTTGTTTGGCTCTTAGAAAATAATCCTTGTTAACTTTTGGAAGCAAAACGAATTTCAATTAAAAACAACTCGGAATATTACGGACTTCGTGATAAAAACAGAAAAATAAATTCGAAATTGAAATTCTTTATTGCGATGGCTGTTTGTAAGATTCGTGTTAACAAAGGTAAAAACAATGATAAACCCACATAGAAATTATTACATAGAAAATACAAATTTTCAAAAATCTCACCCGAATCTTCTTCGTCTTCGTAATATGAAGTGATGCTAAAGTGTTTATTCACCCTTTTTATAGAATTCTGTATTCGATCTCGGAAAATTCGTCATTGAAAATCCATCACGATTTTTCTTTAATCGCTTTAAGAAATTTTAAGACAGGAAGGAATTCAGTGTGGATAATGTAATGCGTAATGATATGCGAATAAAGAAAATTTGTTCCTAATGTTTTTCCATACGGTTATGGTGAGATATTTCGTGTTCCGTTTTGTGAAATATGAGACTCTGTAAGCACATAAACATAACATGAAATTTTTTGTTTGTTTTTGACTCGTTTAGATCGGGGGGTTGACATGACTAGTTGTTAGGGCTGGGCATTTTCGAAGACCTGATGATTTCAGAATCAGATCGAGTATTTTTTTCGAATCGAATCTCGAATACTTGGGAGATATATAATTGTATGTAACTTTTTTCTTGTATTTGGTCCTACAGATACATAAATTACTGGAAACGTAAAATACATCACTCAGACAGATTGCTTATCCTCGCTACTCGAAACTCGGAAGTATTTTGAGGTTACCGGTACCGGAAATGCTAAAGATAAGGTGAACTACTGCAGTACTGCTTCTCTTGGTGTCAATATATTTGTAGACTGTAGTATTTGCTGTTACGTGTCCATATATTTAAGCATAACTCTCCTGTTAGCATGTGGTATTATTAATGTTTTTATTTTAGTTCCTTTATAACAGAGTGTAGGTTACACAAAGCTAGAGCAAATGCTCCGTTAAATTAATAGCTTAAAAATACGTCGAGGGAGAAATATCAAAAAAGTTTGGGAACAACTGTTCTAATAGAAATGTTAGTCTGCTTTATGACTTCTGAATACGCCTGCGCAGATTTGCAAAAACAGAGTCTTAGCAACGGAGCGCACCTTACTTTTATTATTCACCAAATGTGTCTACAAGTATAGAAAACAACTTTCACCACATGAGTTACAACTGCTTTTACAAGTTCCATGGCAATTTATTTGTTATAAATTGTATTATCACCAGTGAAATAATTTCATTTGCACAAATTTTTGCTCGAAACACCCATTACCAATCAATATGATAGTAAAATTTTTATTTGATCAAAATATAATATTCAATTTATTTTATTTTAACTAAAATCTTCATCAATGTTTATGTTTAAGTTACAGCTTGTAATTAAAATAACCAAAATCTCCAACGTTCAGTGCATGAAGTTGTGTTTGTGAGATAACTTTCAATTATGTAAGACTGTAAGTGATGAACTGATAATCATGCTTGGCATTATAGAAAAAAACAAAAACAAATCGTGTTAAGAAATTTCCATATTGTGAATTTATAAATACCCAAAATAAGTAACGTAACACCGAGTCATAATCTTACGGAAGTGGTTGAGTACAAAGTTGTATTGTCTCCGACTAATTACGGGAAATTGCCCATTAAATTGTAAACACGGTGATAACAAACTTTCTTCCGATTTTAATATAATAAACGAACTTATAAGTAATACCGTATGGAAGCAGTCTATCAACTTTTGTTCGTGCGCCGAATTACGAAGGAAAAAAACTTAAGGGGCACTTACATGAAAAAATTTGCTGTTTTTAATTAAATTGCAATTTTGTAATCGTTGATGTGTATCATATGCTTCTCAAAGTTGGTAAACATGTATGCCTAAAGAATAAAAGCGATTTTAACTCTTTTTCCACATCTCTTCCTTATTTTCTTCTGAATCACTGTACTAAAAATCACTCAAGTTCGGTAGCCTCGGCTCAGCATATAAAAAAACTGCAACAAGTTGTATTTACCTATAACGTTACGTTTCGAAACAATAAAGCAGACATCATGTAACAGAAAGTAAACGACAAAAAACGGGAATGAATTCACTGGTTCATATACACAGCAGATGAAATTAAAAACAATAAAAGATATTTCATAAATACAATGTGTAAAATATTTAATCCTATATTAGTTATGCTTAACACAATACTGGTAATTTTCGCAGCTCGATGAGCAAATCGCCGAGGCGCACCCGTTGGAAATCGCTGCCATATGGTATTTGATGACAAAGTTACATCTATTCGTAAACGGGTTTTATTAACAGTTTAACTTTTAGAGTTTAATTTTCAAACTGCAATAACTATATTGTAATTTTAAAACAATGCATGTTTAAAAGGTTGAATATTTGCTGGCCTAATGGTCTCCACAAAAGTCATTGATCGTCGCACATACTTTTTGATGAGCACATAGTATTGTGGTAGATTCGAATATCTGGTTCCTGTAGTTGAGAATTTCGAATCGAATATTTAAATAGAATCGAATAGTGAATTATTCGGATCGGTTCAGACGAAAATGTTGAATTGCCGACATATTGTTTTTTGTAATACTGCCAACGCAGCAATAAACATGTGACCATTGTCACCTGAGATTTGTCGCATGACTGATTTAAATTTGAAGTCCACGCTACAACAATTTTCATACTAAAACATAATTTGTATCAATCATTAATGAAAACTTCTTCAATTGCTTGATAAATTAAAAAAAAACTGTTACACTACAGATTCTCCGATAGTTGAATTTGGATAAAATTATATGTTAGCGAGAGGAGCCGTATAATTGCCCACCGTTGGTATATATGGTTCTTTCTCCATTAAACATTGGCTACAATGTATTCCTTGATTCCGTGGAGCTGTTTCACATCAGGGTAGTCTAAATTCACGTTTGGTATGTGACAAACATTTGAGGAATGCTAGGTAGCTGATGACAATTTTACTCTATAAGAAAACTCTGAGTTCACTCAGGTTTTCACATGTAGAAGACAACAGATGTTTTGTATGCTCAAAGCTTGGATATCATATCAATTGGCTAAAGGAGAATATCGGTCAGAGACCGAAGGCTTATCGATCGAAAGTTAGGGGATACCCCAAAACAGCGCTCTTACTCCATAGTGACACCTTGTGTCCCATCATTAATTAATTAATAACTCGCTAATTATACGAATCAATAGGCTTCTGGTACGACATATGATGAATGTACATGCAAAATCTGGAGCAGATTCAATCTTGCTTTTGTGAGATATCGCGTGCATCTAACAGACCAACAGACAGACAAATACCTATCAACATATTTACCGATTAAAATCGATTAATAATATTCGGTAAAAATATTTGAAATGGCGGTATAATGCATAGAGAATTGGCGCAGGTTTGTTCGTGCATTTCCAGCAAACATTCAAAATAGTGCAAAACTTACAGTGAAAAAACTAAATAGGTTTTTTATTACCGGTATTTAATTTTGCCTTGCGAGATTTTTGGATTACATGGCAAAGCTAAATTGAAATACACTTTTTTGACCCCGGTAGCAAGTTTTTCTGAGCAATAAACACTTTTTCGATTTACTTTGTGCGTCTTTGGTTGTTCGACTTAATTTTCAGTGCGCGTTGATATTATTCCTAATGGCGATCCAATGTAGTGTCAATTGATATTCACGCGTTAGCTATATGAAATAGAGTCGTGCAACAACAACAACAAAACGCCGTTATTACTTTTTGCTACTGTGAGCGTTACCTGTTTAAAATGTTGTGAAACTCGAATATTTTATTGATTGATAAAGACGTATCTTCAGATTATTTTCATTTATTTAAACAACAAAGAGTGAGACAAAACAACAGCTAACAAAACGAAATCAATATTGGTAATTTATATTTGTTATTTGTCAACTTATTTAAAATATATATAATGATTAGACAAGATGTGTTTGGCAAATTAATATTATGACAGATATTCTTTCACTCTTCGTCGTCACTCCATTTTGTCACTCCCTATTCAAAATCTTCCAGGCTTGCTGCTTTTGCGAAGGTGAGGAATTCGTCTGAAACGGTATTACAATTCAATGATACTTTCTAAATAGTTAAGTTGAATATTTTACTAGATTCACTGATGAATATATAGTGAAATAATACATTCGTAAATGTATAAAAAATTGAGAAAATGTCCATCAAATAACGGCAGGGTGGTCAGTTAAGTGTCTTGTTTATATATCTTTATAATCCTGGGAGTTAAAATATCCGTTGATAATTTTTTAAATCTCTGGCAAGATAAATTTTAACTAGATAAAGAATGCTTTTAAATGGGTATTTTTCTGTGTTTGTTTTATTAGTTTTTTTGATACTATCTAAAAAACATACCGTCGTCCATTTCTCTGATCATTTGAATTGCGTCAAACATTTGACTGATTTCATTGTCGTTCTGGGAAAATATGAATGCATTGTTTAATTGCGAATGTAAATAATATGATCTAGTTTTACAGTTGAAAACTTCTAATTGTAAAAATAAATGCATGGATTATCAATCGCTTGAGTATTTATAAAATCAAGGACACTAAATATTATTTTAATCAATTTCAAATATTTGAATGTGTAAAAAAATTGGCGCAAAGGTGAAATCTCGTTTTTTTTTACAAATAAATTCTTTAAATCATTTTTCAACTTTTGATCATTTGCTATTGCTGAATAGACAAATATTTGAAGAATCTGGTATATGTGTATATTTTTTTCCCAGTTTTGTGTAGGTTTTTACACTGTTGTTGTACACAAATATTAAAGGCCATTAATTGAATCTCACCATTTCTCTAATTGCATGAACATCACCTAGAGCCATTCGTAGTCCTGTTTTTATTATTGTTTGACCAGTTCTAAAAACAGAAAGTGAATAAATCAGAGATCGTGGACGGTGGATAACTTAAATCTCGTGAATTGGTAAAGCCTGAAAAATGTCATAAAAATATATATATTTATCCATAAATGCTTTTTATTTACAATTTCAAAATGGTGATATTACCTTTTGGAAATATCTGAAAGCAAAAATAGTCAATATGTTATTACATGAATGCGTATTGGAAGTGTGAATAAATTACTCACGGACTTTTCACTGCTTTGACCACCGTTGAACCTGCTTTTTTCATGGCCTTTGTAAAGCTTCCCCATCCTCCTGAGACATCAGCAACAAATAATGCTACCAAAGCTAGAATAATTACAGTTTTCATGATTTTGTTTCCTGAAATTGAATGATATTAAATTAAACATGAATTTTCGTTTTA